ACAGTATTATTGAATATGATATTCGAATATTGTCCTTTCTGAAGACAGGTAATGTTCAAAGTTATAAATTACGATATTGACCTCCAGTTATGCCATCTCTAAAGCACATGTTACATTACATCAGAGTCAAACATTGATAGCTGATTACCTTGCGAAAAGAATTTCGTAGAAATTAGTCCGGGACCGAACACGAGTTTGACCTAGCTCATAAGCGGAGGAGTAGTTAAAAATATGCGTACACCGTTATATCATAGAAAGCACCTGCTGCTACCTCAATGCGGTCATGAACAATTTAAATAAAGTGTTAGACTGAACTGAATATGTTCGCTTTTCGTGACTGTAACCATGACCAGCCCCAGACAGCGCTGTTTCTTGCTATTTGGTAACTCACCAGTACGGTTTAGGTCTAGAACGGAAAACAATCAAGTAGGTATAATCGAAATAAAACATCCCAAAGCGCCATCTATCAGCTGACCGACCACTGTGGAGAGCACATGGCTGCTATTTGTTGTACCTGATCTCAGCTCATGTTTTATATCCCTCCTAGCTCACGTCACGCCACTTCTGAACACAAATTGAGCATTCTGAGCTTTAAATTAAATAACGGCTAATTTTAGCATGTTCCAGAACTTTCATGATAGATTGTAGTGCAGAGAAAATGATATACCAACTTGCAAAGGAAGTTTTTTACATTTGACCTTGCATAAGTTTAGACGCCAACAAAAGGAAATGATATGAGAGAGTAAAGCTATGAGATGTCAAACCAGCAATCCATACCATGTAACATTTCTAGATTGCATCATTCATTTTGCAATTTCACACGTCGAGTGTTTTCCAAACACCGATGTGGGCGGCCAATCGAGACGTTGTTTTCGTTGGTGAAGGTGTAGTAATTAGCAGGTGCTTGAAATAATGCAGTAAAAAATTCACAAAAAATGTATTCTTTGAAATATTGTAAACTTATGAAAGAGAATAACACAAACGATAGAATAATCATATAACAATGCATAATCTAACATTATAAATGTAACAAGAAAGTACAATGATAACATTGTATACAGGATGCTCGGTGTTTGCTGAGAGTTTCGTTCACTTTACAAGAGTCCATCTTATGTACAAAGAGAGATATTTTGAACTGAAAAGAGTTACCATACAGCTTTTGAATTAATTATGACAAAGAGATTTGTGTACCATTTGAGTCAACCTAGTTAGTTGGAGTTTCCACGTCACGCCACTTCTGAACACAAATTGAGCATGCTGAGCTTTAAGTTAAATAACGGCTAATTTTAGCCAAAAACAGAGGAAATTCTTATGTTCCAGAACTTTGCCGATAGATTGAAGTGCAGAGAAAATGATATACCAACTTGCAAAGGAAGTTTTTCACATTTGACCTTGCATAACTTTAGACGCCAACAAAAGGAAATGATATGAGAGAGTAAAGCTATGAGATGTCAAACCAGCAATCCATACAATGTAACATTTCTAGATTGCATCATTCATTTTGCAATTTCACACCTCGAGTGTTTTCCAAACACCGATGTGGGCGGCCAATCGAGACGTTGTTTTCGTTGGTGAAGGTGTAGTAATTAGCAGGTACTTGAAATAATGCAGTAAAAAATTCACAAAAAATGTATTCTTTGAAATATTGTAAACTTATGAAAGAGAATAACACAAACGATAGAATAATCATATAACAATGCATAATCTAACATTATAAATGTAACAAGAAAGTACAATGATAACATTGTATACAGGATGCTCGGTGTTTGCTGAGAGTTTCGTTCACTTTACAAGAGTCCATCTTATGTACAAAGAGAGATATTTTGAACTGAAAAGAGTTACCACACAGCTTTTGAATTAATTATAGATTTGTGTACCATTTGAGTCAAGCTAGTTAATTGGAGTTTCCGAACATGGTAAATTTTAAAAATTTCAGTCAAAAGTCTAATACAAAACAAATATTTTTGACCTACTTAACAAATCGTTAACTTGTCACAATCCATGTTACTCATAAGATGCTGTATATGGTACCTCTCTGTTTTCAGCCCTTATAAGACATCTATTTACTACTTATTCAGTCATATTCAATAAAAGCTATTCCTAAGTATGTAGGGGAAAATATATAATGCATATCGTGTTACCATTATTGCTAACTACATCCAAATATTAGAATTATTTGCCGTAACACACCCGTTTTGTTGTCTGTTTTTTGTCCTCGTATTTATGGTTCTTTTACAGCGGAATGTCTCCTACAGCGCCAAAAGATTCTTTTAAGTTTTGAACGTGAACGCTAATAGTAATAAATAGCGACATTAAGGTTGGTTGCAGCATACATATATGTGTCTTTTATTCTTTCAAATGCTTTCTTGTGAACCATATCACAAATGAAGAAACATACTTTTTTTTATTCTTCTGATTTCTTGTAGTTGTTCAATGAATCCCTTAGCCCACGATTTCTGCTAAACTAAAGGACCACTTTATACAATCAGATGTAACTACATGTTACAACGTTTTGTACACATTCATACGATAACAAAATAGACAAATATTACTCCGAATAAGTGTCGTCAAGGAAATGGTCTCGATAGCTCTTATTGTGGCAATTACACTTTAAAATATAATGAAAAATAGTATGTTTATGTACAATTATTTATTTATGCATCGTATTGCAATGTACTCCAATATTATCTACATTACGCTTTATTTTAACAAAATGTATTCTGACATACCACTACTCGAATCCTATAACATTTATGCCCCACAATTCCAGAGCTGTAAAGGGAAATTATAATCGTTTCTCAAAGCTGAAGTTCTTCCAGAGTATTTACTGCTCGATCATGATACACCAACTATTTCAAATAGCCCCACAGAAAAAAAATCGCAAGGCCTCATATCCGGGGAGCGAGCAGGAAACTCATTATTTAGATGTTCATGAAATTTTCGTCTAAAACGTGGTGGAGCCCCATCATGTAGGAACCACATATTCTGTCTTACATTTAGAAGAATATCTTCTAAAAAATAATTTATTATAATAAATTGTTGGTCTAGTTCAACAAGTGAGAATAATTTAATTAATCAAAATATTTGTATGTACTTCTTTCTACGACGTAACTATTAGTACGCTACGTCTCATAAACATCAAAAACTCAAAAATTATAAGGATCGTATATATTTCAGCTGCATATAAACTGTGTTTGACATGTGGAGAAAAAACTGCAAATCGCTATTCTCGATGAGCATGTACAAAAGTTATGATATCAGGCTTAACTTAATTATTTCTCGATGGTGTGCTGAAGTATTTTCCTCACGCTAAAACAAATGGGATCAAACAGGGAAAATTTCGGACAATTTTCGGCGCTTCGGCTGAAAGTGCCACGAACATCAATAACGGTCACCTTGAATCTTTTTTGTGATTTTCCAATTAAAGCTGTGTGAATTATGACAAAGAACTATGAATCAACTTTACCTGTTCTCCGCTTATAAAACTGTGACTTGATATTTCTTCCTGTACATTTGCAAACCTTAACCTACTTAAAACATAATAACAGTCATTTGAGTTATTATCATTGAAGGTTGAGTAATCAGTTGCTATAGCATTGAACAAGAGTTGCACTTTTCCTGTATCGATTTGCGAGGAGATGATGTATAGTGGTGTACATAGCATGAAGCAGTTCTACCACCTAATAATCGACTATATTAAGCGGTGATCGATTGTTTCGATTGGTAGTAAAATTGGTAGGGGTTCGGAAATTGTATGACGTCGACGCGGTTTTTCCGGTTTTTTAGGAGGTTCGCGGTACGTTCGGAGGGAAAGAGGTACCGTTTCGGAAAGTAGAAACTCGGCGCTTTACGGGCGGGCGAGAGCCGTCGCGGCGAGAGGAACGGATCGGATCGAAAACGGCCGGTAAAGTCGAAAAATCGACCGTTTTTCGGACGGTACGCGGCGTTATTTCACACTGGTTTCGTCGTTTATCGAAATATCGACTCGAAATCGGTCTCGTTCGATAGCTAAACGAAAAATACGTGCCTATTAGCTAATCGACTATATTAAGCGGTGATCGATTGTTTTTTTAGGTAGGTATTGGTAGGCGGAGCGGGTCCGGCGTTTGATGTCGACGCGGTTCCTCCGATTTTTTTCCGGGTAACCGAAACGTCGCGACGGAAAGCGATACCGTTTCGGAAACTAGAAGTTCGGCGCTTTACGGGCGGGCGAGAGCCGGCGCGGTGAGAGGAAGAAACGCGATCGAAAACGGCTGGTAAAGTCGAAAGAACGGTGGATTTTCGCGCGGTAAGGAGAGTTTTTTATCAGTCGTCTCGCCGTTTATCTAAATATCGACTCGAGACCAGTCTCGTTCGATAGCTAAATGAGGAAAGCCGGGAATAGGGTTGAATTTGTTCGATTCCGCGTCTCGGTTTTTTTTCTAGAAATTTTCAAAGAAAAAGCGAGAAAAATGGCGAATTGTCGTAAAAACTCCGATATCTCCTATATGCCGAAGAGAAAAGGAATTTCGCGCGCCGCGTTTCGTACATCTCGACGAGCGCTACAAATTACGCTGAGAGAGTTTTTTTCGTTTACGATACCCGTTTCGAATAAACGAACCTCGAACGTCGTCTCGAATGACTTTTTTGCGTATAAAGCGCGCTTCTTCGCCGTTTATCTGCTATCTCCTCCGACGATAACAAAGATACGGACCTGGCGACTTTTGCACGAGAAAGCCCATACTTCGGAATCGAAGATACGACTATTTTCATCGTCATTACTCGTCAACTGCATTAACGAGCGATCTTTTGTTTCTGGTATAAAGGTCACGTGTCGAGTGGCGATCGGAGCGTTTGATGTCGACGCAGTTTTTCCGGTTTTTTTTCGGGTTCACGAAACGTTTTCTCGGAAAGCGATACCGTTTCGGAAACTAGAAACTTGGCGCTTTACGATCGAGTGAGAACCGTGGAAGTAACAGGAAGAAATGTGATTGAGTACGGCGGTCAAAGTCGAAGAAACGGTAGATTTTCGAGCTGTTCGACGTTCACTTTCTATCTCCTCCGAAGACATCGGACTTTAAGATATCGTCTTTTTTATTTCTTTATCCCTTTTCGTTCAAAAGTTTCGATTTTTTTAAATTCCTTGACTACGTGCTACTTTCTGATGCATGCCATGTTTCCGGCTCTGTCCTGGACTATTACTGCTATACGTAAGCAAGACAAAAATCATCATTGATAATCGAATTCATTTAAAACCGTAGTCGAAATATTTGTGACCTGAAATCGCTTTTTATAATTTTTGTACCTGTAGGTGATCAAAAGCGCTGTTGACGGTTATAAAACAGAGAAACAGGATTGAATATTATGCGCTCTGCAGTAAAAATACTCGTTGCTACATACACGTTCACCATCAGATGCATTGATATGAACCATAATGTTATAAAAAACATGTTTTCGTTAAGTTTTGTCATAAGGTCATGTACACAATTATAATTATATAACTCTGAAGATTTGGCTAAGCTATACAATATACATAATATATAAATTACATACACTTACCGACTTAAATAAAAAATCGCACACAGAAAAATACGGTGTATTTATAATAGATTTATCTTATTGGCTATGGGTCATTAGGATATTTTTGGAAAGGCATTTGGCGAATCTGGAGAGGGCTGATCCTCCTGAAAACAAAATGTGAAAATTGTAATTGAGGGATCCAATTCATAAACCAGTCAAGTCACAAAAGGAAAAACGTCAAGGAAACATAAAAAAAATGATGTAAACTTTTCAGCTACTGAAAAATTTTCGTATTTGTCAATTGCAGATAATTCTGCTGCATTATTTTTGAATACACATATCAATCTGTAAAAAAAAATGAATGGGCTATGAGGGAAGAATTAATAGACTTGACTGTTTTATGCAATTTTTTTTTTATTTTTAAAGGTATAAAATTAAAATAAAACAAATTTTGACGTTAAAATGGCTTAATGCAACTTTTGATACAATTTTCAAATATTTTCATTTATTCATCGTCACTGAATTCTGATGCGGAATTTTCTTTATCATCTGGCGAAAATCTCTGATTGTATTTTCTAATTTCTTCATAGAATTACTGATCACATTGTGGCACATAGTTTTTAGCCGGAATCGTAACATGATCAAATTTATTTTTCTATAGCTTTCTTCTTTCACTATACATCTTAATTGTAGTGTTTCGTAGAGTCAGTGGTTACACACCTCTCTATCTCGGATTTCAAAAATATTAAACCGATATAGAGAGACTGTTTCATTACATTTAAATAATATTTCATTATCTAGTTTTTCATAGCGCATAATTCGATAATCGTGAATTTGTTGTTCTTCCATGAAGGATTCTTTACAAAAAAAACTGTTACAAATAGGCCTTGATATTTACAAATATATCCTGCGTTTTTGTTTGTATTTTCAATAATCTTTGAGTACTCTTTGGACAAATATACAGGGTGTCCGCAAAGTTGGAGTTTTCCTTTACACGACGTGTAGATCTTGAAAACATAAGCAATTTTTCTTAGTACCATATACACCAATGTCTTAAGGGAACCGAGATAAAGGGCTCTGCAACATCAAAAATATCTGAATACCATCCTGTAGCCGCGACATCACCGACTGGTACAAGGTGACTGTCTCAACTCGACGACAGAACTGGGTCGGGGTCAGTGTGTCAGGTCAGTATGCAACCTTCAACCGACGGTTACGGTCACGCGTGTAGAGGTAATCGCGTAGACGAGAATCCCTCAACAAGCTCTAGAGACGTGGCTAGAGAAGTGCAAGTATCAAAAACTAAAGTGTGGCAAACGCTGCGTGAAGAGGGGCTGTATCCGTTTCACGTCCAACGTGTACAAGCCCTTCAACCTTACGATTATCCAGCAAGAGTGCGGTTTTGTGAGTGGTTGTTGCATCAACATGACAATAATCCGGACTTTTTGAAGTGCATATTGGTGACAGACGAATCTACGTTCACGCGTAATGGGGTGAATAACTTTCGCAACACTCATGTTTGGTCAGTAGAAAATCCGCACGCTGTCCGTCGGGCACATTTTCAACAAACATTTTCGGTGAATGTTTGGGCTGGCATGGTGAACGGTATGCTCATTGGACCATTTATTCTCCCAAATCGATTGGACGGGATGCAATACCTAGACTTTTTACGCAACATTTTGCCTTCCTTGTTAGAAGATGTGCCATTAAGTGTAAGACAATCAATGTGGTTTCTGCGTCTGCTCGGTAGCGCTTCAGCTGATTTCATTTTCTGTTGGAGCGGTATGATTTCGGGCAGAGACGTACTTAGCCCTTCTCGTTAACTGGAGAGTGAGTACTTTTTCCTTTATTTTTTTTTACTTGGTCGCCCTCGTTTCACTACACATTACCTTTGTTATTTCAAGGGTAGTTGTTTCTGAAAAGGGAAACCCCAACTTTACGGACACCCTGTGTGTTTTGTCGTTCTTTATTTTTTGTATTTCTATGACTTCTATCGCGCGGAAGGAAACTTTGTCCAGGTTTGAGGTTACCTGTGCTGTATTAGACTGACGACACTGTGCAAAAACCAGTCAAGGACTTGACCGTTTGATGCAAAGTGTAAAAGCGTAGGCAACCAATTATACACTTCAGTTTCACAATTCAAATATTACAGAGCTGGTTTATGCACCGGAAGGTTCAGAATCTATAACAATGCAATAATATAGACCCAACCCTTTTTTCCGAAAAAATGGAGTTGGCCGGTTTGTGCATTGGATCATTTTACGATAAACGACAAAACATCATACTTAACAGCCTTTAAATTCAATCTGTTTTATGATAGTAGTGAGAAAATGTCATTTCCGTAGAGTTGATATTACCTGCGAGACTATACTGGATCGATTGCTGGACACACCTAGATCACTTGTAAACGGCGTCTTTAAGGTCACGTCACAGGTAGTTCCTCCCGTGGGTTCCGCACACGCGCTCAGATCAACTGACGAATCACTGTGGAATAAAACCTACATTAGTAACGCATACTTACAAACACATTAAAATACGGAAACCCGGAATCAGAAACTGTACAAAGAAAGACTTTATTACTGGACGCCAAGTCCCAATGTTCTGCATAATGTTCAAGCTTCAATAATTCAGATACGTTGGTTCGTTCATGGCAAAAAGAAAATGTATGAAAAGCTTGTATCATACCTTACTATACTCCTCAAATCGGCAACATCCAACTTAGACCTGTGTTTACTTTCAAACTGTCCAATCTTTTCGTCGTCAGCGTTATCATCTTCTAAAAGAGGTAGTTCATCCTCTTGCACCACTCTAGTTCCTATAGCACCGTCTCTGCTCTCGCGGCTACTATCTCTGCTTCCTTCCCTGCTCCGTTTTTCCCTTTCTTTGGCATTGATTTCGTGACATTCGCATTTACATTCCTCCGGGTTTACGTAATTGTAAATGACGTTCTCCTGCAGGATGCTTTCTGGCACCTGGAACGAATCCGTATAGTGAGATTGTAATATACGATGGGGCAGTGTAATAGGCACTATATACGCTCTTATAAAATATAGTTTATTTCATCAACTGAAGGTCAGTCCCAATTGTGCCAAACGATCATTTTCAAAAATTGCAATTCTTTGCAAAAGCGCTGATCAACAGCCAAAAAATATCCTAAATAAAATCAACAAAATATTACTATTTTTGATGTGCTAAAACCGGAATGAAACTTATTTTTTCAATATTAGTTCAAGTTCTAGAGATACGGTAATTATATGTGTTCCTGCTGTGACAGTGTTAATATACTGTAATTCACAAGAATGCAGGAGCTACATTTTTATATTCGGCAAGGAAAGATGATGTAATCGGCATGATTGTGTTACGTTATACATACGTGTACATTATATTGTTTTATATTAGCCATTTTTTCCTCAGTTGGCTGACAGCGTTCATGCAAGATGTCTCGAATGTGTGTGAACAATCCAGATCAGTTTTGTTACGTGTGTGGTGATGTGACTTTTGCGTCTCAGAGACGGTCTATTACTCCACTAATAACAAAGGCATATCAGCGTTATTTCGGTTGTAAACTAGGTGATCAAGACACACAGTGGGCACCCCTCATCTGCTGTAATACATGTGCTTCAAGTCTGAGGAGCTGGTTAAATGGCAAAAAACGGTCTATGCGCTTTGCTGTCCCAATGGTTTGGAGAGAGCCTACAAATCATAATAATGATTGTTACTTTTGCATGGTAGCTTGTGTTGGACAAGCGACAGGTATGTCCAAGAAAAAAAATCGGTTATTAACTACCCAAACATACCATCTGCGATGAGACCTGTGCCTCACAGTGACGAAAATCCTATTCCAAAACCCCCAGAATCCTACACTTGCGAATCAGAAAATGAATCAGATCATGGCGATCGAGTGATTCGTCAGGAAGAAGATATGCCATCAACGTCAAGAGATCCTGATTTTATACCGAGCACGTCATGCCACCAACCGCACAAAATAACACAGTCAGAATTAAATGATCTTGTAAGAGATTTAGAACTTCCAAAATGTAAGGCAGAGTTACTTGGATCAAGACTGCAGCAGTGGAACTTGTTAGAAGACGATGTTTTGGTATGTGTTTTTCGTAAACGCCACAAAGACTTAGAACCATTTTTCAATATGGAGAATAACTTAGTTTTCTGCAGTAACATTAACGGCTTACTGGAGGCTTTAAATATAAACTATAACCCAGAAGAATGGAGATCGTTTATAGACAGTTCAACATTGAGTTTAAAGGCAGTGTTATTGCATATTGGAAATATTTTACCATCTCTTCCTGTAGGGTATGCAGTTCACATGAAAGAATCATATGACAATATGAAGTACCTATTGACATGCATAAAATACGATGAGCACCAATGGCATATTTGTGGCGATTTGAAAGTTGTTGCACTTTTACTTGGGCCTAGCTGCAGGCTACACAAAGTTTTGCTGTTTTTGTGTGAATGGGACAGTCGGGCAAAGGCACTTCATTACACCAGACAAAACTGGCCTGTTCGTCAATTCCTAGAGCCAGGTCAAAAAAATGTACAGCATATGCCATTAGTAGATTCGAAAAAAATTTTATTACCACCACTGCATATCAAGTTGGGCCTAATGAAAAACTTTGTCAAGGCATTAGATAGAGATGGGTCAGCTTTTCAATACCTGCGTCAGAAATGTCCAAGACTAAGTGAGGCAAAGGTTAAAGAAGGTATTTTTGTTGGGCCACAGATTCGAAATATTTTGAAAGATACAGTTTGAAAACACTTTAACAGGTATTGAAAAAACTGCTTGGAATGATTTCCGTCTGGTGGTCACTAATTTCTTGCGAAATAGAAAAGCTGACAACTATAAAACCCTTGTCAAAAATATGCTGTCATCGTATCAAAAGATGGGCTGTAATATGTATCTTAAGATACATTTCCTACACTCACACCTGGACTTTTTTCCTGACAATTGCGGAGCCGTAAGTGATGAGGACGGCGAACGTTTTCATCAGGATATTTCAACAATGGAAAAAAGGTACCAGGGAAAGTGGAACCCTTCCATGCTTGCAGACTACTGTTGGACTCTTGGTAGAGATGCTCCAGAAACGATCCATAAAAGAACAGCAAAAAGACAGCGCATATAGTGATTCTTATAAGTATATGAATCTTGTTACTTTTTTTAATATATCCTTAAAAATAAAAAGTTTTTTTCCAAACCGCAACTAATTTTTTTATTTCATTGTCATTTTTGGATTCAGTGCCCCAAAATTAACAAAGAAGTGCACTTTTCCCACAAGATACAATTAAAAAACTAAAATTTGTTGTCCAGTGTAGTTTGACTGGCATCCCAGATTCAACGTAAATTGTGAGCTGGAAAATTGATGCTTTCAGATTCAATGACTGTACCTCAATATATCCTCGGGAAGGTATAGTTTGTATCCTTTTCGGTGCTTTCCTTTTTTCTGGAATTTCCTCAAAGTTGATCCACGATTTCTGTATCCCTTTCGGAGGAAGAGGTGGCGGAGTTTCTTTTTGAACTGGAGTAGTTTTCTTGGTGCTCTTACCAGCAAATTCCTGCCAGTTTGCATCCTTTTTTCTAGGAGATTTTACCTGCAATATTGTTTGAATAAATGTCTTAGCTTTGCTACTGATATAAAGAAATCGATAAAAGCACTGGAGATTGTCTATATTCTGGTTGAGGTCCAGGCAATGGAAAAGATGAGATAAGCTGTACTTCTAAATTACCTTGCTTCCCTTTTCCACGGAATCGTTCCTAGGTAGCGATATCTTCAGCTTCTCTATAGTTTGCGTTATGCTTTCTACATTGAAACTGCCCATTACATCTTCACAGTATTCTTCTAGGCAACTGGGATTGATCGGTGTGGTCGATCTATCATGACAATGTTAATAAAAATTATTTTTGGTGTGGGTGGATCATTTTTGAATAGCTAGTTCAAACGCTTAGTCCACATAGTAGTCCAAAAAGCTTGCGAAGTTAAAAAAGGTACAAGGTACACTCAATCTAAATGACAAAAATGAATACATCAAGAAATGAAATTGACAAATCTGCCCAAGAGACCTTTAAAACGCAACAGGCGGTACTACTGTTTAAGGAATCAATGGTTATAAGCAGTACATCATATCAAATTATACAGGGTGACAGGTAAATAGGTGTAAAACATTTTAGGAAGTGATAGTACAGCTCCTTTGCTATCAAAATTAGTATATAATACCATTCCCTATATTCAAAGGTTAAAAAGTTATGGAAGATTTAATTTTTTTTAAAAAACAACCCAGATTACAGAGTAAAATAGTTGAGATAAAAAAAAGTTGGTGATTAAACATTCTTTTTTTGGCGGTTTCAGGTTATTATTTAAATAAATAATTCTCATAAATTAAAAAACATATTAAAACACTACTGAAAACGTATTTATTTTCATTTAAATGTTGAATGAAAATTTTTATTTTCAACTTTCACATTAAGAAGTCTTTTTTTCAAAAAAATCATAATAAAGAAAATGTACAAATAACTGCAAAAACTTCCTCGTTTCATTAGGTTTCTAAAATGGTTATTATTAACATATCAGTAAGTAAACCATTTAACAAAACAATATTACTTTGCTAGAAAGGACCGCTAAGCGCATTTCATTGTACTGAGCAGGTAAACCGCGCCTTCCATGGTTCGAACCTTCTTGTTATTTTTTGTGCCCTGTGCCGTTATTCGGGTTTATGTATTCGGAATATGTCGTCGCTCCTCGGAAGCAAGCTCTGCGTGTGAATTGACACAGCTGATGGATCAAGGAAAGGGAACTAACGGTTAGGTTAGTTAGTAGAATATCAACCTTTAACGTGGTAGGACGTACTTTTACTTTTTTGATCAGTTTTAATAATGGCGAGTTACCGTAACGAAGAATACGCTGATATTCTGTTTTGTTATGGTTTAAGCGATGGAAATTCCGTTGAAGTCAGGCGAGAATACGAAAACCGTTTTCCGAATCGGCGAATACCGAGTCATCGAGTATTTGCTTCTGTGTACCAACGCGTCAAGGAAAGTGGACAGGTTCATGAGAGTCGTCATGATTCTGGTAGTCCTCGGTTGTTTGACGACGAAGATCGAGAGGTAATACTGGAATGCTACGGCAGAGACCCGACGACGTCTACACCAGTTATAGCAAAGCAGCTTGGTTTAACTCAGTGGAAAGTTTGGTTCGTTTTGCATTCGGCGAGACTTTACCCTTTCCATTACACACCGGTTCAAGTATTACAAGAAGGAGATCCCGCAAGAAGAATTGATTTTTGTCGATACATGCTTCATCGGGATCAAGAAGAAAATGACTATTTAACTAAAATATTGTGGACCGACGAGTCTAAGTTTGACAGAGAAAGGACAACAAATTATCACAACTTACATTATTGGACCCCACGAGAGGCAAATCCCCACATGGCAAAGCCAAAGAAGATTTTCGGCAAACGTGTGGATGGGAATCATTCATACGTATCTAATTGGACCAGTTTTTTGCCTGACAACCTGAATGGCGAATCCTATGAAAATTTTTTGAGATCCGAACTCTGGGAGTATCTCGAAGACCTGCCTCTGAATATCAGGATGCAGATGATCTACTAACACGATGGCTGTCCCTCGCATTTCCGTCTGGGTGTTAGACAGTGGCTGGACGAGAAATATCCTTGTCGCTGGATTGGCCGAGGTGGTCCGACACCGTGGCCAGCGAGGAGCCCAGATTTAACACCGTGTGACTATTATTTATGGGGGCACATGAAGTCACTGGTGTACGCTGAGCCCATAGACACTCTTGCACAGTTGAAAGAAAGAATTATTGCTGCTGCTGACACTATCAGAGGACAACTAACTGGCCGCATCACGCGTACCAACATGAGAAAAAGACTACGGGCTTGCTTAAGAAACGGCCCGCGTCAGTTCGAACAACAATTGCAATGAATTTTACCTTCATTTCATTATTGTATTTTACTTACCAATTGTAGTAACTTTAAGTCAGTTTTTATTATTCTGTAGTACAATTACAACTGTGTAAATAATCTAATCGTGTAACTTAACCGTAATTTAAAATAATAACTATCCCATAGCTTACAGTTACATTATTTTCACAAAAACACTTTCTTATCAATCAGAGAGTTGTGAAAATAGGAGACAAGCTATTGGTAAATTTACTCCCTATTGTTGTATTACAATACATTATGTTTAGTTTCACACAGTTTTTGTGCACTCATCATACCAATTTAGATTCGTTATGAAACAAAGATGTTATTTAAATTGTTTGTACGTTTTTTTATATACTGATTTTTTTGTAAAACACCTTACTTATTGTAAAACGTTATTTGTTTTTCTTAGTTAAACATTTTTGAACGAAAATAAATACGTTGTTTGGTATTGTTTTCGAATCTTTTTTAATTTATAATAGTTAATTATTGAAATAATAACCCAAAACCACAAAAAACAAATGTTTAATCGCCAACTTTTTTCTCTCTCGACTTTTTTACTATGAAATATGGATTATTTTTAAAAAAATGTTAAATCTTCAATAACTTTTCAACCTTTGAATATAGAGTATGGTATTATATACTAATTTCGATAGCAAAGGGGCTGTACTATCACCTCCTAAAATGTTTTACACCTATTTACCTGTCACCCTGTATACTAAACGACATGGAAACCTTAATGTCAATAATCTGTTCGCTACGCATTCGTTAAGTTAATTCGTGCAAACTACCTGGGTCTCTCGATGGGGCACGTCTTGATCTCGAACGTAGATCGTTGTCTAACGGGCACAATGGGCACGGCAGCGGAGCGCTCTAAGGGCAAGGTGGTGGGTACGTAAGGCAATTCGTCCTCGAACGAGTCCTGCTGCAGAACAATCGCTTTCCTCTCAGGCTCCGTCACGTCCAATTGCAGCCTCAGATCTAGGTCTCTCCTGTTCCTCGCCATATCCTCGGCGTCTCGTTCCGATTCCGAAGAGTCGCGATCTTCGTCGGCGTTAGAAGTGGCCGTACTTGCTGCGGATAGTTGGGATGTGCGCTTGGCTTTCTAGGATGACAGAAGTGGTAATGAATTGATGAAACAAATGATCCAATTTTATTCCTAATAAGTCCACAGGAAGCCTCATTATGTATTTTTAGAATCAGCGTAAAGCGTAACATAGATATTTTATATTTTTGAGGCTATCGTAAGTTACACGTTACTGACTTTATCTTTCCTGGGTAAACAGCTCCTATTTTTGTAAAATGTAGGACGTTGGATATCTGGATAGGTTGTTTTAGCTCTCTTCTATAATCTACACTCTCCATCGTTTTTCCAAAAATGCCAGTATTTATAGGCTTCTGCATCTCATATTTTGTTTTATTTCTCATCGCTGTCAATATGGTCTTTCAATAATAACGATTTATTAAAAAACTACACGTGGTTTGTTAAACCAGGTGATAATGCACGAATATACATTTCGTTCGAAACGGAAATTTGCTAATGCGTAGCCAAATTGCTATCAACTTTATATCTCTACTATTATCACTGATCAACAGCCAAAAAATATCCTAAATAAAATCAACAAAATATTACAATTTTTAATGTGCTAAAACCGGAATGAAACTTATTTTTTCAATATTAGCTCAAGATTTAGAGATACGGTAATTATATGTGTTCCTGCTGTGACAGTGTTTAATATACTGTAATTCACAAGAATGCACGTGCTACATTTTTATATTCGGCAAGGAAAGATGATGTAATCGGCATGATTGTGTTACGTTATACATACGTGTACATTATATTGTTTTATATTAGCCATTTCTTCCTCAGTTGGCTGACAGCGTTCATGCAAGATGTCTCGAAAGTGTGTAAACAATCCAGATCAGTTATGTTACGTGTGTGGTGATGTGACTTTTGCGTCTCAGAGACGGTCTATTACTCCACTAATAACAAAGGCATATCAGTTTTATTTCGGTTGTAAACTAGGTGATCAAGACAAACAGTGGGCACCCCTCATCTGCTGTAATACATGTGCTTCAAGTCTGAGGAGCTGGTTAAATGGCAAAAAACGGTCTATGCGCTTTGCTGTCCCAATGGTTTGGAGAGAGCCTACAAATCATATTAATGATTGTTACTTTTGCATGGTACCTTGTGTTGGACAAGCCACAGGTATGTCCAAGAAAAAAAAATCGGTTATTAACTACCCAAACATACCATCTGCGATGAGACCTGTGCCTCACAGTGACGAAAATCCTATTCCAAAACCCCCAGAATCCTACACTTGCGAATCAAAAAACGAATCAGATCATGGCGATCGAGTGATTCGTCAGGAAGAAGATATGCCATCAACGTCAAGAGATCCTGATTTTATACCGAGCACGTCATGCCACCAACCGCACAAAATAACACAGTCAGAATTAAACGATCTTGTAAGAGATTTAGAACTTCCAAAATGTAAGGCAGAGTTACTCGGATCAAGACTGCAGCAGTGGAACTTGTTAGAAGACGATGTTTCGGTATATGTTTTTCGTAAAAGCCACAAAGACTTAGAACCATTTTTCAATATGGAGAATAACTTTGTTTTCTGCAGTAACATTAACGGCTTACTGGCGGCTTTAAATATAAACTATAACCCAGAAGAATGGAGATTGTTTATAGACAGTTCAACATTGAGTTTAAAGGCAGTGTTATTGCATATTGGAAATATTTTACCATCTCTTCCTGTAGGGTATGCAGTTCACATGAAAGAATCATATGACAATATGAAGTACCTATTGACATGCATAAAATACGATGAGCACCAATGGCATATTTGTGGCGATTTGAAAGTTGTTCCACTTTTACTTGGGCTGCAGCTAAGCTACACAAAGTTTTGCTGTTTTTTGTGTGAATGGGACAGTCGGGCAAAGGCACTTCATTACACCAGACAAAACTGGCCTGTTCGTCAATTCCTAGAGTCAGGTCAAAAAAATGTACAGCATATGCCATTAGTAGATTCGAAAAAATTTTATTACCACCACTGCATATCAAGTTGGGCCTAATGAAAAACGTTGTCAAGGCATTAGATAGAGATGGATCAGCTTTTCAATACCTGCGTCAGAAATTTCCAAGACTAAGTGAGGCAAAGGTTAAAGAAGGTATTTTTGTTGGCGCACAGATTTGAAATATTTTGAAAGATACACAGTTTGAAAACACTTTAACAGGTATTGAAAAAACTGCTGGGAGTGATTTCCGTCTGGTGGTCACTAATTTCTTGGGAAATAGAAAAGCTGACAACTATAAAACCCTTGTCAAAAGTATGCTGTCATCGTATCAAAAGATGGGCTGTAATATGTCTCTTAAGATACATTTCCTACACTCACACCTGGACTTTTTTCCTGACAATTGCGGAGCCGTAAGTGATGAGCACGGCGAACGTTTTCATCGGGATATTTCAACAATGGAAAAAAGGTACCAGGGAAAGTGGAATCCTTCCATGCTTGCAGACTACTGTTGGACTCTTGGTAGAGATGCTCCAGAAACGATCCATAAAAGAACAGCAAAAAGACAGCGCATATAGTGATTCTTATAAGTGTATGAATCTTGTTACTTTTTTTAATATATCCTTAAAAATAAAAAGTTTTTTTCTAAACCGCAACTGATTTTTTTATTTCATTGTCATTTTTGGATTCAGCGCCCCAAAGTTAACAAAGAAGTGCACTTTTCCCACAAGATACAATTAAAAAACTAAAATTTGTTGTCCAGTAATCTATATTTCCACTGCCTTTCCAAATATGCCGTTGTTCAGCAGCTTCTAAAGCCACAGATGCAGAGTTAAATGACCTTTCGGCCGCCTCGGCTAACTTTTTCGAAGTACATTACAGTGACAGTGTAGTTTATTTATTTGTTTTCCATGTGATACTTCGCTTGTTTTTGATATTGGAGTGATCCTACAGCCCGAAGGGCCCCGAGCCTGCCAAAGTCGCGGGAGGCCATCACCGTAACATCGAAATAAAACCACGTGAACATGACAAAAGCCCTGTTGTACCATCAGCTTCTGAGGTCTACCTCTATTTTTGTAGTAATTGTCATTTCTATATCAACCATAACTACTACTCAAATAAATGTAAAAGGCCTGTTGAGCTATGGAATAGTAGAGACAATGAAAACCATCAGAAATTCAAAAGTTTGTCTGAAGAACTATTCACTAAAATTAAAACAAAGATTTTTCAGCTAATATATGTATATGCTAAATATCACTACAGCTGCAGAGATATGAAGAAGCAAATTATTTTCGTACTATATAATAAAATAACTGCAGGATGCAAAGTGAGATTGGTTCTGTTTATTTTTTGACACAAGAATGAATTTCTCAAGTTACACGTTCACAGAGGGAAATACAAAGGAGTAAGAAGGAAAGCGAAGTTTCGTTATACATAATCGTACACTAGAGGCGTGCAAATGACAAACGTCGCTATGGTTCTCTTCGCTTCGGTTTGAGTGCACTTTAATGCTTATGAATAAAATGTATGAGTTTTTACCTCTATAGACCTCTGCCTAGCCTCTTCCGTAACCTTCTTATCTACGACCGTCTCAACCTTCTTTTCTCTTGAAGATTCTGCTCTCTTCAAGCTCGTATTACTTCTTGACTTGGGCACGCGGTCACTCAGTTCTCCTTGCCTTGTGTCGCTAACGTCTGGATTTTTCGGGCGAACATCTTGTTTTCGTTCGCTAATGTTATTTTTATCTTCACTAGTATCTGTCCTTTGAGTAATAACATCTTCTTTTTTATCAACTACATCTTCTCTATTTACTTGAACTTCGTTGACTACTTTTACTACTTCATTCACAACCTCTATTTCAACCTCGTTGGTTTTGGTGGCTTCTAATGTCCTCTCCACCTATTCAAATGACGTACTTGAGAACTATAGTATCATGAAATATACGTCAATTAAATATTAAATCAGTATAGCAAAAGCTCTAAAAAAAATATTTTTCCATTTTAATAGTCTTGTCAAGGACACATTCGGTATTTGTTGCAGCCATCAAAACTACGCAAGCAAAGAACTGGTAAATAGCAAATATAATTACTTTAAAATTTTTGGGTTAAATGTCGGTAAAATATCATATAAAGGACTGTAGACTGGGTGGGAAACATAAAGATAACAAAAATTAATGATACAAAAATGATGTAGGAATAACTTAAAGTGAATTAGGCTGTTGCAAATGATGTGTGAGCGTTCACATTGAATGACCTTGAACTCAAATAGATTGTCTAAATATCCACCAGTTTCTGGCCGCTAAATGAACTACGTATGTTGGTGTGTGTTCCAACATGTCGGGTTTCATTATCAATCATCATTTGCCTATCTCGTTTGCCTACCGGTCACTGCCTAAGTACGTTAGTCGAATATGTCAGTCCTAGTTGCCCAGAAACTAGACAATGTCAAGGGCGAGCAAAGAGAAGGATGGAAAGACTTGAAAAAATGAGAATTGTGAAGAAAAGGAAACACTTAGGCTTTTCGACTTGATATAGATATTAATGTTAAGGACTAAAAGTAAATTCTGACTCAGGTTGAGAGTGTAATTTTAGAACAGTTCGCGCTAAATTCTTGGTCACAGTACAAGTTGTGCTGCTCCGCTTGACATTTACACTTACAGTATATTCAGATAAGAGATAGACCGGACATAAACAAGACCACGTGATCATCGAACGCTGTAACATTCGGCAGGGACGTATTAAGAGTCACGCAGTACATATTTTAGATAGTAGATGCTGCTTTGCGTAACTTTGTATTTCCAGCTTCGGATGCCGCCTGATGTTTGGTGAAATACAGTCGAATATAATCTCAAAATGGCGTTTAAATTAGCCTAAATTAAAAAAAAATCGTGTATCTCTTAAAATTGCTTTTAGAATATTGATTAGTATATTTTTTGATTTCTAGGTAAATATGTAACCAAATTAAAACGTTCAAAACGTAAAAAAATGTGCATGGTTGAACATTGTCAGAAAGTAGATTCTTGAATAGGTTTTGCCAAAATGGGTTCAAAAATGTCAATAATTAATTAAAAAATACAGTAGCTTTATAATTACTTATAACTTACCGAATTTGATGAACGACATCTTTTATTGGAAAGATGAGCTTGATGAGCTTTCATCATCGCTACTGCCTGAAGCACCAACGTCAATAACGAACGGCTCGACTTATTCCTCTAAAATATTGTCCAGTTCCCACATTCGCTTTTCAACTTTGTCTTTCACGTGCTTAATACAGTTTTCCCACTTTTGCGCTGTTATTAATTCTAGTGCTTCTTTGAAAAGTCCTTTGAGGTCACAAAATTTAAAAGTTGTATTGTGCTTAGCTATATAATTTTTAACCTCTGCCCATATGAGCTCAATGGGATTGAGCTCGCAATGGTATGGAGGTAAACGGAGCACAGTTTTATTTTGACTTGCTGCCATTTCGTCAATGGCGTATTTTTGATATTTCGCCTTGTGATCCTTGACAATTCTTAATAATTGTACTTTCAGCATTGCTTCTTCAAAGTTGATATTTTTCGAGCGGAGCCAATTTTGAACATCAACTTTCCTTGAAGCCGTTGTTGGGACCTTCTCCATTCTTCGAGAATGATAAGGCGCATTATCCAACACAATTACTGCGTTTTCCTCTAAGTTCGGTAAAATTTTTGAAAACCACTGTTCAAACGATTCGCCATTCATTTACTCGTGGTATCTCCAGTTTTCTTAGACTCAAAGCACTACAGACCGTCAACAACAAATCCATCCTCACTGCCAATATGGCAGATAATGAGCCTTTTCCCTTTACCTGGAAATCGAAGTACTAACTGGTGTAGATTTATTTCAATAAGCGAACCTTTTTCAAATGTTTTCATCACATTCAGCGAAAAAACATTGAGACACGAGTATCAGATTGCTATAATTGGGATTATTTAGTCATATTGAAAGAAAGAATATTGAACGAAGTATGATTACTCAGCGCTTCACAATTTAATTTAAAGTTATAAACCTTTAAAAAATGAATGATCAGGAACCTGAAATACGCGCAAATATTAATATTAACAAATTATAACTTTATAAAGTTTAAAGTATGAATTAAAATGATTAGAAATATTAGGAACGGTACACAATATAAAACTTAGTAACTTTTTTTAAGCTTATAATATTCGACATATTTTAAGATTATATTAAATAATTATTGAAATATCGAAAACACATAAAAACATGGCTTAAAAAAGTTCTAACAAATGAAAATGACAATAAAACATCCACGCATTTTATCGAAAGTTATAAAAGTTTTGTTACTTGTAATATGTTTTATCTGCCCCCTGGAATTAATGTTTAGAACCTTGTTCCCAAGGTTTGAAAAACATCCGATTGTTGTCTATTACTCGTATTTATCTGCTGGATTTTTTAATCCGGTGGACAGTCCATCTAGAAAGGCCCTCCTGGATGAAGTTACAGAATCATCAACCCATACTTTACTTGTAGTGTGTCCTGCGTTTACCCACGTTTCATCAAGGTAATAAATCTTCCTGTTTTGTTTTCTATATTTCCCAATGTTTGTTAAATAATCCCTCCTCCATAGCACAATTTCTTCTCTATCCAGTAGTAAACTATTACGACCCCGTTTTTTCCATTTGAAATTTAAATGCTTCAGTAACGCATGGAAAGTTGATCGTTTGAAATTTGGCAACGTTGTATCTCCATTTACCTCCTGCAGTACTTTATCTATAGTAGGTATTTCATTCCTAAAGAAGAATTCATGCACTTTCCTCCTAATCGCATACTTATCAGCTTCATCCAATGATTTAACAATACTTTTGCGATGTTTACTGGTCATTGGCTCAGAAAAGGTGTGATTTTTTTTGTATTGTCTTAACACATTAAACACTGATGCGCGACACACCCCAACTTTGTGAGAAACCTTCACAACAATTTCTTTGATGGTTGATGGCTCGTTCTCCTCGCGCTCGATCTTATATATATTCAAAATGACCTCTTTCATTTCTGCACTCAGGTGTCTTTTTTTAGAGCGTTTCCTAGGTGGACTACAGGAGTTTACAACTTCATCGGCAGTATCTGTACTACTGGGCATTTTGCGCAAGCAGTTGATAACAATAACAATCAATAACAAGGTATAACAATAACAACGACAAACTCAACAACTTAATAAGATAACAAACGAAAACGTCCAAAGAAATATCAAATTGCAATGATACACACGACATACGTAACACGTCTGAACCTGAATGTGACTCTGCCTTGATACGACTGCTCTGCCGCTCGGCATAGGCATTTAATTGCGAATTGACCAATGAGGGCTCCTGTTTTACGTCGAGACGGCGGCGTTAGCGTGAAAATCACCCGAACCTTTTGTTTACATCCGGTCTATCTCTTATCTGAATATACTAGAATATACTAGATTCATCAGCATGAAAATTACAGAATAAGTTTCAGATGTTACAGTAGTAAACTGCCTACACCTCACACAAATTTTACCTACCTCTATGATACCGTTCATCTCCTTCCTAGGTTTGTCCTTAGGAAGATTCTTCGGCAGCTTCGTCGTGAACACCTCATTATCCAGCTTCGTGGAAAACACCACATTTTCACTACTCGTACTACTTTGTCTACTGTTAGCTGCAGCTGATTTGCTGGCTTGCGACTTTACGAAGCTTTCTTCTCGTTGGATCGCTGGTTCGGGCTTGGGTATACTACTGGCTGCTACTTCGATGACTGCATTTATAAGAGCATCATTGTTTTGGGATTATAAGAAAAATAACAACAAAAACGCAAACATAATTCGGTATTTATTATTTATATGATACTTGTACCAGTATCAGATACGTTGTATCTACAACCATTCACGTAGTGTCAAACATTGCTTTTTATATTCATCGAAGTGCTCATCATATATTAAATTTCCCATGACAAATACATATTTTCCAACTTTACATTTACCTGTATCCTGAGAGTCCTGACTGGAAGTCTTCCAACTCTTCTCATAATAGTCTGGAGAATGCAATGGTATACGGATGCTTGCAGCGTCCAAAGGATTTTCGTAGTGAGTCTTTTTTGGCTCATTGAACTTGAACTCTAGCTTACCGATGCCTTCTATACTAGGTAATGTTTCCTGCAATCAAGGGCGCGGTACGTCATAAATAGACTCATCAGCCAAAATCTGCAATAAAGCTCATAATCATGCTATGTTTTGAATTCATAAGCTCTAACTGACTATTATATAGTGACACCGATAGTATCGTATTTGTAAAACTGGATGTTGAAAAATTCTTATTTGGCACATATGAAAGCTTGCAACAGAACCCACTTTTATTATTTGTGCAAGTGTACCAAAGACTTCGAGATACAGGAAGTGGCCAGCAAGATCTCCTGACCGCAATCCGATGGATTTCTGGTATTGGGGAGAACTTAAAGGGACGGTTTATGGGCTGGTCCAATAACAACTGAAGCACAACTAAGCGAAAAGAAATTTAATGCGGCTGAATTACTTTAAAGTAGCTTTTCTCAAAAAAAAATCCGTTTTGACCCCCATGTTATATGAAACTTTTTGCTTCTTTCGACCCCCTCTATCGCCCAATTAAATAATGACTATCATAACGTTTACACCCTGTAGATTGGTGATGAATGCTTTGAAATGACTTGGCGATATTTGAAGCAACTGCTGGAAAGTGCTAACGGTACCTACTTGTGAGCTGGTCTCAGACTCCGATTTGACCTTATCCTTTTTGATGCCTTTAAACAAAGACAGCACTGATTTGTTTTTGGATTTAATGTCTATGCTCTCTGTCGATGACGGAGCAGTCGAGAGCGAAGACTTGTGGCTATCTCTGTCCCTACTTTTCGATCTGCTTCTACTTCTACTCCTAGCGCCGTCCCCCAGAATACTTGTCAGGGTGTTTTTCCTTTTGTGCTCGGAAACGCCAGGCGATTCGGGGCTGACTATGGCTTCTTTGCTTCTGAAAAGAGAAGCGAAGGAATTTTTTCTAGACACTGAAGGTGACGGAGTCACGCTAGTTATGTTTTCTATTGCATCGTTTTTTGCACTGTTCACTGACGCGGATATTTTTGCTGCTTCCGGTATTTCTGTCACTATAACAGCGCTGCTATGAGATATCTGAGACGTTCTAAGCTCGAGCGAATCAGGTTTTTGTATTTCGCAGGTGGAACTTTCTTGGTCGGTGTCGGAGTAGCAATAGTCAGGTTTCAGCTTGATCCGTATGTACTTCGGTTCTTCTTTCTCGTTTCTTCGTTCGCTTGGCGCTTGTGTCGCTGATCTAGTTCTAGGTATTGAGTTGGCGTCTTTGGAGCTCCTACCGCTTTTGCTTTGATAACTAGCAGACTTGATTTCTCTAGACTTGGTTTCTCTAGACTTGAGCTCTCTAACAGCCTTCGCTGTGGTTGGCGATGCGATTTTGTCCAAGTCCGGTGGCAAGGGGCCTTTGAGAGGAATGTAAAAGTACTCTACGCCACTTTCTGATACAAATCTACTAGGAAGCTTAGGAGCAGATTCTTCTTTGCTGAAATCGTCCTGAGGTCGATCCACCTTTATCGTTACATCTACCTTCATTTTGCTGTCTCGTCTCTGAGCGGGCGGTTTCGACTTTTGTTGCGGCACCGGAGTTTTTTTATTAGATTTTTCTATGGAAATGCCTTCTGCCAGAATAGCTTCTGTCGGATCATGCTTCCTGGACAGCAAGAGCTTTTCCATGTCTTCTTTAATGCCTGTTGGTTCAGCAGCCTTAACCACATCTGGAGGTTTCGCACCTGTGAACAAAAAATTAACAATAACCAACTCAAAATTGTGACTGTTTTCGTACAAATTACTCAATTATAGCGCCTTGTTGACTAACAGCTGGGCAAACAATAAATAATAATCCAAGCCAAGGTAGTTCAGCACATTTTTGGATATATCATTTTTTTGTTATCGCTTAAATAAATCAGATGCTACCTACCACAAAACGAAGTTTCCAGCAGCATTTTGTGTGGCGAAGAACATCTTGATATCCCCGAGAGGTGACTAGCGTTGCTCAACCTGCTCTGACCCGAATGACCGCTGCCCTGACTACCTATACTGGAAAGTCTGGACGTTCTGCCCGATATAGACAGGAGTACGATGTCGGAACACTGGGAGTCTTTTCTGTGCGGAGGAATGCATTCCTCCAAGGTCATAGGCGACGACGGTCTAGTCCGGTTCACTTTTCGGGACTCGTTGGCATCTTGAAAGTCTAGCTCTTCAGTTGATGACCTATGGAAGAAAAATATAACTAGGCCTAAGTAAGGAAGGTAAGCCTTCGATAATTTCCAGAGCCGTTCATATGGATATTGGCGGATCTGCAGACCCAGAAAAAAGACAGACAGAAAGAAGGAAAATAGAGGGAGAGGATCATAAACTAACAGGAGAGGATCAGCCCTCCTCTGAAGAACATCGAGCATATATTAATCCTAGTTACCAAAATATCATGAAAATATACAGGGTGTCCGCAAAGTTGGGGTTTTCCTTTACACGACGTGTAGATCTTGAAAACATAAGCAATTCTTCTTAGTACCATATACACCAATGTCTTAAGGGAACCGAGATAAAGGGCTCTGCAACATCAAAAATATCTGAATACCATCCTGTAGCCGCGACCCGCCGCGATATCCCCGACTGTTACAAGGTCTCAACCCGACGGCAGAACTGGGTCGGGGTCAGTGTGTCAGGTTAGTATGCAACCTTCAACCGACGGTTATGGTCACGCGTGTAGAGGTAAACGAACTCGTATAATCGATTCCGTTTCAAAAAACAACAAGCACTAGAGCCGTGGCTAGAGAAGTGCAAGTATCAAAAACTAAAGTGTGGCAAACGCTGCGTGAAGAGGGGCTGTATCCGTTTCACGTCCAACGTGTACAAGCCCTTCAACCTGAATATTTTCCAGCAAGAGTGCGGTTTTGTGAGTGGTTATTGCATCAACATGACAATAATCCGGACTTTTCGAAGTGCATATTGGTGACAGACGAATCTACGTTCACGCGTAATGGGGTGAATAACTTTCGCAACACTCATGTTTGGTCAGTAGAAAATCCGCACGCTGTCCGTCGGGCACATTTTCAACAAACATTTTCGGTGAATGTTTGGGCTGGCATGGTGAACGGTATGCTCATTGGACCATTTATTCTCCCAAATCGATTGGACGGGATGCAATACCTAGACTTTTTACGCAACATTTTGCCTTCCTTGTTGGAAGATGTGCCATTAAGTGTAAGACAATCAATGTGGTTTCTGCACGATGGTCATATTTGTTACCTCTGGTCTACTGGTCTGCACCATCGCCGGCGTCTGCTCGGTGGCGCATCAGCTGATTTCATTTTCTGTTGGAGCGGTATGATTTCGGGCAGAGACGTACTTAGCCCTTCTCGTCAACTGGAGAGTGAGTACTTTTTCCTTTATTTTTTTTTTACTTGGTCGCCCTCGTTTCACTACACATTACCTTTGTTATTTCAAGGGTAGTTGTTTCTGAAAAGGAAAACCTCAACTTTGCGGACACCCTGTATAGTGAGTAATATGGTCATAATTTTCGTGAATGAATATAAAGTTACAATTTCTGTATTCGCATATTGACGTCTTTCTTTTGGTATCTTAAGCGCTTCCTCCGAGGTATTAAGATTATGGCAAATACCAAGGAACTTGAAGACGCAATTATTATGCCAGACTACTGCTGAATGCTGAAGGCAGATAAAGCGGAGAGAAAGCAGTTAGAGTTAATAAGGTTTAGGCAGGAGTTTTGGAGAAAGTAGAAATCCTTTTTTGCAGAATAAAAAAAGAATCGGTACATTTTTACAAGTACACATTATGTACAACACCCTGTATGTGGTGTAGAGACAAAACCAGATTTTCCATGCATGAGCAGTCGTCAAAAACAGTTAAAACGTCCTATTGAATATAATAGCTAGAAAATCGAATCTATTATTTCTTGCATTTTCATTGGTCCATTCAAATAAGACCGCGTCTTTTGTGAAATGATTGAAATTGACAATTCCATGAAAGTTATCCTAATGTTAAGGTTCAAAAACGTGCTATTACATACAAAATATACAACAATAATCATTTTACGATGTTACTCAATATTTCAATAGAAATTACTGATAATTGCATGTCAATGAGCTGTTCCCTTATTGGTGGAAGTCTCTGTCAAATTTAAATGTTAGTGAAATCTACTCTACTCCTCTGCTGCTATTGGTTTTTTAAATGGAAAATTTAGTGTTACATTTAACATTTTTTTTGTTTTTTTATGAAAATGTTAATGAATTATAAAATATGCATGTCTTCAATAAAAATAAATCTCGACGAGCTGGGAAAAAGTTGAAAGCAGAATTTCAGAACCTCATTAATAGGTATTGAAAATGGCAATATTTGAAAAGAGAAAAAGAAAATTTACGGAATGTTCCTTCAGGGGTGCCACAAGGTTCAGTAATAGGGCCCCTTCTTCTTCTAAATTTGATTTGGTGTCAAGTGTAACTCGTTATGCCGGTGAAACTCTATTACTGTTAAGCTTTCCACCTGATGATATCAAAATGGCTGCGGCTAAAATTTATATTGATCTCGAAAGTATTATTAACTATTCTGCTATTGATAACATAAATCACAATGAATTTAAGTCACTATTAGAACAAACTATTTTAAACACACAGTAACAGAAATGTGTTAACGGTAATGATGCAATAAAGCATATTATACATATAGTCAACGCCAAACAAAGTGGCGTGCACGTCATCACGATAAAAATTCCCCGACCTAATGCCTAGGTTTCTATCACAAACAATTGCTCTATTGCAGTTTCATATTAATGTGATATATAAATTGTAAAATGGTCATTACTCTCTTATTATGGTTAATAGTCATATAAACATTGTTATTAAAATATCACATAAGTTGCTTTCTGATAAATTTAGACGCATTATGCGAAATAAAATGTTTTGCAAACGCTCCAATCACTTATCGACATGTAAACGCACTAAACCGATTTCGCAGCGTTGACACATTGTCACCTTGAAACTTATTTAAACTGGGAACTGACATTTGTATTAATTTTGACACTGAATCAATTTGTGGCATTTCAAATCTTTATAAATCCTTTGGCCCCGCATACTGTAAATCAACAACTGTTTGTTTCAAAACAAAATTATTCATTTTACGAGTAGATAAAGGCAATTTTGGTATATAAAGATGCCCAAACAGTTAAATAGTCGGTGTAAGGAACTCGTGGCCTCGTTAATGCACTACTTTGAGCAAGAAAGGGACAACAACGGGCCTTTGTTGCCTTTAAATGCTGTTCAAGAGGTAGGTTACTAATAATTATATGTAATGTATATTAATAATAGTGAAATTTTATTTCATTCTTTGTAGCGTGTTGCTGCTGCTTTAAAAATTAGTTTAAGGACAGTTAGTCGTATTTCCGAGGGTGTGAAAAGTGATGCAAATTTAGAATCGCCCAAGAAAAAGCGGAGTTATATTAAACGTGTAACCAACACAGTGACATTGGATACAAGTGCCATTCGAGAAGTGATCTATAATATGTATCACAAAAGTAAGATCTTATTATAATAACTTATCAGAAATTTGCATTAATTTGTTAACTAAATTATAATGTCATATTACACATGGTTTCAGAAGAACAAGTTACGATACAAACTTTATGGTCTCGATTAAGAGATAGGGCATTATTTGATGGTAGTGCCACGTCTTTAAGGCGGTTGCTTAGAGATCTTGGATTTAAGTGGCTTAAGGACAATCCGCGACGAGGGCTCATGGAACTACCAAGTATAGCTTTGAAAAGGGTGGAATTTCTAAGGCAATACAATCAAGCCAAGGTTGAGGCCTTATACCAGTTTGTCTTCCTCGATGAAACTTGGATATTTCAAAATGGGACCATAGGTCGCTCTTGGCAAAATGGAAACCAAAGAAGCGTGAAAGCTATTAAAACAGATGGTAAAAGGTATGTACTTTTACACAATTTGCACTATAAAATTTAAAACTAATATATTTTAGATACATTATATTACATGCTGGAAATGAAAATGGGTTTATTGAGGGTAGTGAAGCGATATTTTCTTCGAAAACAAAATTGAGCGATTACCATGGAGAGATGAACCAGGACAATTTTTTGAAATGGTTTCAACATCAGTTATTAGGAAAATTGGAGAGTCCATCTATGATTATACTGGATAACGCCCCTTATCACAGCATGATATTGAACAAAGTGCCCAACAATGCATGGACAAAAAAAAATATCCAAGACTGGTTGACAAATCAAAACATACCATTTTTAAACACAATGTTTAAAACAGAGCTATTGAGTATTGTTGCTCGGTACATAATGCTTCTTAATTATATATATTTTGGTCGACAGTTTATATTTCTTTTGTTTATTCCTATTCTTAAAATAACTGCTTTTTTAGAAACAAACCACCTAAAATATACGTGATTGATGAATTGGCGGAACAACATGGGCACAAAGTTCTTCGTCTGCCTCCTTACCATTGTATATTTAACCCTATTGAGTTAATTTGGGGCATAGCAAAAGGTTACTATAACAGACATATTGGTAGAGATGGTAACAGTGAAAAAGACTGTTTGGATATGTGGAACGAGGCTCTACAAACGGTTAACCCAGACATGTGGAAAAATAGTGTTCGACATACTGAGCAAGAAATTTTTAAATGGTATGAAAGAGAACGAATTTTTGATCGACCAGACATCGAACCTTTAATAATCAACTTTGAGAGTGATGAAGATTCAGATTCAGACAGCGCTGAAGAAAGAAACTCCGACTAACTTTATTGTACAGAAAAAGCTTACACCAGTAGCTTACCTAATTTTAGAATGCATTTTTCTGTATGAATTCTGTAAAATAAATACCATGCATAAAATTTGGAGGACCCCATTTGGATTTTTATTCAGTACCTTTAAGCTATCAATTAAATATGGTAGTTTCATAGTGTCACCTGATCAATAATTGTCATACTTAATGATTATGCAAGTACAGATCTATAATTTTATTATACTATTATTTTTGTTCTCATTTGAGGTTAATATTGCTTATAAACCTAGATATGTAAATAATAAATTTTATTATTTTACAAAAAGTTTGGCAACAATGTAAATTTTTCCACACCCACCTTGATGACGTGCACGCCACTTTGTTTGGCGTTGACTATATCTAAAGTACGATTTAATGATTCACCTAGAATTGTAGAGATATAATTGTGTGAAATCTTATTTTGTCGAGTATTCATCTTACTCTTCTCAAGACACTACCTGAGTTCCGAAGTACCATCTTCCCTGAATCCCAGCCCAAGCTTCGTACTAGCCGCCGGTTCTTGTGCGGAGTGATCGAAGATCTCCCTTTCCGGCGTACTATCTCGGCTGTCGTGATGAGATGAACTACTTGCTCTGGAGATATCGATGCGAGGTGTGGCTGCCAACTGCAACAATAGCGTTCGATTATTTTCACAATCATCATCATTTCCCGTTTATGAATATACGAGTACATTGCAATGCCTGTAATGAAATGGTAATTAACGCTGCAATTTTCGGATACAGATGTAATTACGTAAATATAGTTAATGAAACGTTACGTAAGCTGACGCAAATCAAAAGTTCGTCACTCGTTAGCCTACTACGTAAGGATAAAAATTAAAGATAGATTAAGCACAAAATACTCTTCGGGGTCTATATATATATATATATATATATAACTTGAGACGTGGTCATTGTCGTTTCGTTGCTGTCAAAAGGTTCATCTCACTCATTATTCCATGACCACCATTTTGTGCAATCATCAAGTGGCTTCACGATGTAATGCTCTAATGTTTTCTAAATAATTTTTAATCTGTCTTTAACTTGTCTTGTCATATTTTATATAATTTTGACCATTGTACCATGTATCCAGCTCTCGCCATGTTACTGGACGTTTCCCTCATCCTATACGAAAACAACAATTAGCAACATCCTCACATACTACTGTAAATTGATTCAATTTAAATTCATTTTACACTTTTGTTGCTACTGTTATCATTGTAATTGCAGCTCCTGATGATGATGGCAAAGTCCATTGAAAGCTAGAGAGAATTAAAAAAGTATAAAGAGTCCTCTTTGCTTAAATTTTGTCGAAATACCCAACAAAAGGCGGAAGCTTTAATTTATCACCTAACTGGTCTAGACGACAATGACCACGTCTCAAGTTATATACATATAATATATATATATATATGTTATATTAGACAGTTGGTTACCTAAAAATGATGATTCATAACCTAATTTTTAGTCATTGAAAGCACTCAGGCTTTTCCAAACATTAAATCACTCGAAAACGGCGTTACTGACTAGCTCTTTTGTTCAGAATGAAAAGAATCTAGATTTTTCCGGAGTGAAAAAAAAATTTTGATGAGCACCCAACAAACGTGTTTATGAAGAAATTGAGCTACTTATTCCAAAATGGCCTTATGAAACGGTTCAATAACCCTAATCTTACCTTAATGACACTTTTCGGCTGCGGACTGCTGGAACTCTTTTCGCTGGCCTGCTCCAGTAGAAGTGGTGGTACCGGCACCGATCAAACTGATCCCTTTGTAAGGCGACGGTGATGGTGATCGCCCGGGGGTTGTGGGGGTGATATCTTCCCGGATGCCGGGCAGACGGACCACTGAACCGGCGATACCCTTCTCGTCGGGGCTGTCCAGCTGTACGGAAAAAAATGCGTCAGGTACGGTCGATGGCCTTTAAAAAATAATGGCAACATCTCTAGGACAGAAAGTAACGTAAAAATCTCGTGTTTATATGATGTACAGGGTGTTCGTTTCAAGTATATGTGATTTCATTCAGCCGCGAGACATAATTTGAGTATGAATACGAAACTTCAGAAAAATATAACGAGTGGTTAAAAAGTTGTAACGCCATAAAGAATTGTCCAAAATCAGTATCGGTTATAGTAAGTTAAAATCATTTCCTCTCCAATTGAACATCCTATGTGTAGAGATAAAACACCAGCAGTTACGTGATTCGTGATTATCCTTATAATAATGGCCTATATTATTAGTAACACTAGCTAGGTTCAGCTATTTTCATTCCTTCCTAATTGCTAGCTGTTAAATTATAATGTAGCTCTCACTTATTTTAGTATCTTGAGAGTTCATACTACAGGTATTATGTATGCTCTTCAATGGAATTACGTCATTAAGCTGAAGAATAATTTATAGGAGTGAATTAATTTTCATAAATAATAAGCCTGGATATTATCTGAAAATCGGCTACGCGTCTCCACTCGAGGAGTATATTAGACTTTATTTATTCTTAAAAAAGTGCATCTGTTAGGAACAGGATGTGATTTAGAATGATTACCTTTTCTGCTTGGAGTTATAATCAACTGAATCAACGAGAGTAGAACATTTCACAATAACCTAGAACATAGCTTGTTCGTTCTTATTTATAAAGGGTGTCCGCGAAGTTGGGGTCTTCCTTTTCAGAAACAACTACCCTTGAAATAACAAAGGTAATGTGTAGTGAAACGAGGGCGACCAAGTAAAAAAAAATAAAGGAAAAAGTACTCACTCTCCAGTTGACGAGAAGGGCTAAGCACGTCTCTGCCCGAAATCATACCGCTCCAACAGAAAATGAAATCAGCTGATGTGCTACCGAGCAGACGCAGGCAAACAAGGAAGGCAAAATGTTGCGTAAAAAGTCTAGGTATTGCATCTCGTCCAATCGATTTGGTAGAATAAATGGTCCAATGAGCATACCGTTCACCATGCCAGCCCAAACATTCACCGAAAATGTTTGTTGAAAATGTGCCCGACGGACAGCGTGCGGATTTTCTACTGACCAAACATGAGTGTTGCGAAAGTTATTCACCCCATTACGCGTGAACGTAGATTCGTCTGTCACCAATATGCACTTCAAAAAGTCCGGATTGTTGTCATGTTGATGCAACAACCACTCACAAAACCGCACTCTTGCTGGAAATCGTCAGGTTGAAGGGCTTGTACACGTTGGACGTGAAACGGATACAGCCCCTCTTCACGCATCGTTTGCCACACTTTAGTTTTTGATACTTGCACTTCTCTAGCCACGTCTCTAGTGCTTGTTGAGGGATTCTCGTCTACGCGATTACCTCTACATGCGTGACCGTATGTCATCGGGTTGAGCCAGTGACCTTGTACCAGTCGGTGATGTCGCGGCTACAGGACGGTATTCAGATATTTTTGATGTTGCAGAGCCCTTTTTATCGGTTCCCTTGGTGTATATGGTACTAAGAAAAATTGCTTATGTTTTCAAGATCTACACGTCGTGTAAAGGAAAACCCCAACTTTGCGGACACCCTGTATAATGACAATGGTAAAAGTTACAATTTCATCGAAAAAGTGCTTTTGTCGTTTATTCAAACATTGCATATCTGAACCTCATTGACTCTCCGTCATAACCAACTCCACGCGATGTTCAGATTTGCATACTGCTATTGACCCTTAAATGCCTGGACAGGCAGCGTTGAGCGAAAAAAAAAGACGACGATTAAATGAATGCTAACGTTCATACTGTATGAAAAACAAGAGGGAGACGAGCGATATTTTATTGAAAGCGAAATGGAGCTTTTGTAAATCGTGTATGGAAGCGGTGATAAATACAGTTAGGGCATTGTTATAGTATGTTAAATTCAGTTTTGGCAGGATGTTCGACCAATATGAGTTATGTAATTATACGATATGGAGGGCAAAAAATCAAATAATTACTTAGCTTCTACTAGCTATGCTAAACATTCTGTAAAGAATTTCGAAACGTGATGTCAGCCTTAGAAAATGTACTGTTTATCACAGTTCAAACAGAAATTCAAATAGATAAGCAGATATTCAGTCAAACCTTCAGTATTCGATGTACTTTATAGTCAGATCGTCTGCCAAATGACGAAAAGTTATCGTTTTCATGGTATCCCATATTTGAAGTTTTTTGGTCTTCAGTCTACACTATTTTTATAAAAGGAGAGGCAGTATGTGGTAAAAAAGAATCTATAGTCGAAAAGCTGCTATATACTAAATACACTGCGAACAAAGTTGTGGGCAAAATGTCGAGATGTAAATAGCGACAACAATTAACTGTCGATTCAATAGTTTTGATAGCAAGCCTCAAGTTTGGTATTGTTATTTCGCTACCTTTAACATATACATGATAGATTTATACCCTAAACACATACACATAAACTGTTATATATATTTTTTTTAAATAAATGCTTCCTTCTGAAATATCGAGAAAAATATTCACATAATAGAGACTAGATCTCTCGTGTTGAGACAGAAATCAATTCTATTTTTCTTTAAATACTTGTTTTTCGGTAGGACAGATTACAATTTAAAAAAGCTACTATAATTTATTTTTTGTTAATTTTTAATTATTATTATTAAGATTTATACAGGAATCGAATAAAGGCAATTTATTATTATTTTTTATTATTATTAAACATTCGATTGCAGTAACACAAACTCTTCTATACTTGAAAATTATTTTCTACTTTTTAATTCGATTTTATTTTGAGGCATGTTTTTTTTAGTTATTGGTAAACTAAAAGCTATTTTCTGAATTCTTCATCCAAAAACGACAACAAAGATAACTTATAATCGAGAGTTTCGTTCTGACAATACTTTTAACTTTACTTGGAATTTTTCCAAATTTCGAATTTTCGAAATTTTTTTCGAAATTTTCAATTCTTTTAATTTACATATTTAATTTAATAATTTCAACTATTTCAATCATTTTCCAAATTTTCAAATCCAATTTTTTTCAGAGTTTACATATTCAAATCTTTTAATAATTAAGTTATTTTTTGTTAATATTTAATTATTATTATTAAGATTTATCCAGGAATCGAATAAAGGCAATTTATTATATTTTTTTATTATTATTAAACATTCGATTGCAGTAACACAAACTCTTCTATACTTGAAAATTATTTTCTACTTTTTACTTCGATTTTACTTTTGAGCCATGTTTTTTTTTTAGTTATTGGTAAACTATAAGCTGTTTTCTGAATTCTTCATCCAAAAACGACAACAAAGATAACTTATAATCGAGAGTTTCGATCTGACAATGCTTCTAACTTTACTTGGAATTTTTCCAAATTTCGAATTTTCCAAATTTTTTTCGATATTTTCAATTTTTTTAATTTGCAAATTTCCAAATATTTCAATCATTTTCCAAATGTTCAAATCCAATTTTTTCAGAATTTACATATTCAAATCTTTTAAAAATTAATTTATTTTTTGTTAATATTTAATTATTATTATTAAGATTTATACAGGAATTGAATAAAGGCAATTTATTATATATTTTTTTATTACAATGAAACATTCAATTGCAGTGACACAAACTCTCCTGTACTTGAAAATTATTTTCTACTTTTTAGTTCGTTTTTATTTTAGAAACGTATTTTTTTTAGTTATTGGTAAACGATAAGTTATTTTCTGGATTCTTCATCCAAAAACGGCAACAAAAATAACTTATAATCAAGAGTTTCGATTTGACAATACTTCTAACTTTACTTGGAATTTTTCAAATTTCGAATTTTCCAATTTTTTTTCGATATTTTCAATTTTTTTCAATTTACAAATTTCCAAATATTTCAATTATTTTCCAAATTTTCAAATCCATTTTTTCAGAATTTACATATTCAAATCTTTAAAAATAATTTATTTTTTGTTAATATTTAATTATTATTAAGATTTATACAGGAATCGAATAAAGGCAATTTATTACAATTTTTTTATTACTATTAAACATTCAATTGCAGTAACACAAACTCTCCTGTACTTGAAAATTATTTTCTACTTTTTAGTTCGATTTTATTTTTGAAACGTGTTTTGTTAGTTATTGGTAAACGATAATTATTTTCTGGATTCTTTATTAAAAAAAGACAACAAAAATGACATATAATCAAGAGTTTCGATCTGACAATACTTCTAACTTTACTTGGAATTTTTTGAATTTTCCATTTTTTTGGATATTTTCAATTTTTTTAATTTACAAATTTCCAAATATTTCAATCACTTTCCAAATTTTCAAATCCAATTCCTTTCAGAGTTTACATATTCAAATCATTTAAAAATTAATTTATTTTTTATTAATATTTAATTATTATTATTAAGATTTATACAGGAATGAGTAACAAGATATGTTCATTAGCATGATGTTCGTGGACCAACTTGAGCAATTTGGACAGGCAGTTATCAATACAGCTCTGACTATTCAACGCTTCACGCCTCCCTCTTCCCGCAAAAGCTTGGCATACACCTCCGTTGCGCACCAGACAAGGATTTTATCTGCAAATTTCGCTTTACGTTCGTATCTAACTCTACTGCCCGCAGCTTTGTCGCAAGCGTTGTGCCTAGTGCAAACTAACAGCATACGCTAAAAGTAGAAGTAAGAAAGGTGTGAAGATACATACTCTGGATCTCACCTCGTCTGACAGGTCCTCAAAGGAGGCGAACGGCGCCGGACCCATGCGTTTCTGACGTTTCGATTGTAACCCAGCCGATGACGATGATGATGATGTTGATTGTGTGGGTGGCTGTTGCCGTTGTTGGGGGCAAGACATCGCTAATGTGGTGTTGTTTGGTGATGATCGAGAGACGCCTCGGTTATTTTACAGTGATGGCA